CAGCATTGATCAAACAAAAAAAAGTTTACACTCATTATGTCACATCATTGCCCTAGCATAAAAGAACGCATTTTTTTATTGCAAAGTATCAATATTACATCATATGCTGCAAAATTGTTTGCAAATATCGAGAGTTATGGAAAGCAATGATAAATTTCAAAAGCCGAAAAAAAAAAAAACATACAAAAGTATTGACTATTTTCACTTAACATATCTTTAAACTGAAGTAAAGTTCATTTGTAAATGTAAAAATCCCATACAAATAAATTAAATCATGCGGTGAAGCAAGTAGAGAAATAAGCAAAACTTGCCATCATCCTCAACAAATGTAAAACTCATAAAGATCATCATGAAGGCCCTTACACAATCTATGCCAAATCACAACTGATAAATCTTATAACTAAAAAATTTAGAGAACACTAGTTGCACCCATTACACTTACTGATTCAAACATCAGAAATGGAAGGATAGCATCATGTGGTGATTACCACCACTAAGTCCTCGGCATTATGTGGCTACTACCACTTGGTTTTACAAGCAGGAATTCAACCACAATCTAAGGCTTTCACTTTCTCACCATCGAATCTAAATTTGGAAAGACCCAGAAATAGTTTCAACCCATTAAAAATATTGTTAGCCAAATGCTCCACGCCCTAAAAAGTTGTAAAATTCCCAGTCTCCATATGAAGCCAAAATGGGACCATTTTCTAAGCATTCTAGCACTTTTTATATCTCCCCAGCTTGTCAAGAACACAAAGACTGTTTCTGGTAAAACCAAAGTAATGAAAAACTGAGGATATCAATCAAATCTCTCTTGCTCAGAGGGTGAGAGCACAGTGCAGTCAAAGTGTTAAAAAAATTAACATCTGATCTACTTTTTCGGGACACACAAAGAAGTTCAATAGCAAACAGAGTGCTCTTTCAGCCAAATTCATGTCTTCATAAACAACAAAACTATGATGCGACAATCGCCCACTCACTTTGCTCACTAAAAAATGGGTTTGCACTAAAATATATTCAATTCATTACATTTTAAAGATGTAGCATGATGATTTTTTAATGTACAAGTCAAGGACATGGTGGAGTCAGCCATAAAGATGTTAATAGGCTTGACCAAAAAATAAAACTGCCAATTAAAGTGAAAATAACCTGGTCAAACCAGTTTTGAGTCCTGATGTTTAGAATTTCAAAGGGCTTGACACTAGGTATAATGATAAGCCAACTTACTGTACCAAACATAAAAAAACCAAACAATGTAAAAAATGACATAAATAATGAAAACCACAGTGTACAAAATGTCAAGGCAAGGTGATTTAGGACAAACTAGATATTTTAGGTTTTTAACATTATTTTATTTCATATATTTTTTCCTACTTTATGTTATTTTTTAGTCTGAAAGGAGTGTAATTCCTTATTCAGGTTGATCAATGTTCCTATTAGGTGTTGCAGTTACCTATTTAGTGTCTTGACCTCCAATACATGAAGGCCTAGTTTATTATTGTTTTTACACTTTAAATACAAATGATGAATAATACCGGCTTTCTCCTCATTTCTCTGTTTCTCCCCCACTGTTTCTTGCTTGATTCTTCCGATTTTCTCCTATTTTCTATTTCTTCTAAGTTTCTCCCATTTCTCGCTTCCTCTATTTTGGTTCTATGTTCCCAGTCCCCTATCAAAAGGGCTATCATTTCTCTAAAAACTTCAACTATTCACTCAATTATAACTTAATTATACTCTCACATTGACATTCTCCACATTGAAAGACCTCTTGACCACGGCCTGAAACATTTTTTCATGACTTCGCTCCACATGACAAACACCCAATATTCTCTCAGCATGACATGCATGATAAAACAATATGCCATGTTGATTTTGCTTATTCCTAGGAAACACAGTGAAGTTGACAGTCAAGCATAAAACCCATAAGACCAAAGAAGTGTCACATAGAATCATGCCAACCCAATAGCCAAAGGTATGAAATGTATTTCATTCAATTCCTCCAACTCAATCCACACCTGTTTCCTCAAACTCAAAATTTATTTGCATGTCAATGGTTACAATTAGAACCAGGATTACAAATTCAAGTATAAGATTCATACAGTTCCAGACAATTGTGAAGGACTATTTCCAGCTCATTTTCATCATTACAGAAAACAATATGTATATTGAAACCAATTAATGGTGAAGGAGCAACAATCAAACCCAATGACATTGACATTGCAACAAATACTTTAAACCTTAAGCCAATTTGACAACCAACGTGAACTTCTCATTAAAACCATCCTATAACTCAATTACTCATTAACACGAAAGGTACTCCATGAATATTTGAAGCATTTATAAGAAGCTTAAATATAGAACTTGCATATCCAAAAGCACAGTATTCTGCCTACAAAATCTGAGAAAATGCAATTGTGTTCATATAAAAATTTAATGTCTCACTTTTAGCTCCTTAAAGCCAAAAAACCCAATATTCTACCAACGTGGGCTCTTCAATCAGGCACTGATATCATTTCATTTTGACAGTCCCCAAGCATCTGTAGGATATATTCCATTGACCTCATATACCTCCTTTCTTTAGCATAAAAATTCAACATCTTCCAGGTCCTCATTAACTAGGCTCCAACAAATAATAAAAACTAAGACTTGCGATGTTTATATTCTTATCAACTACACAGACGAAAACATTTATTTCAAGCTTGAAGGTATTAACTAAAAATCACACAGCTAGTCTAAAGTTTTCTTATATTACTTGACTGATATTTGTATTCTTGGCAATTTCAGATATTACCAGGACATAATAAATAGGAAGAAGGAGAAAAAGGATTTTGCAAGCATGAAGGGCGAAAAAGACTTTGAGCACAGGACCACTAGGTCAACTTGATTTTAACACCTGGTTAAATTACAAATTAATCTAAAAGTTTAAGCTAATAGGTAAAAAGTCTAATAACAGTATTTAGGGTCTAACAATCCTAATCCAAATTAATAGTTATCAGCCATTGGACAAAATTCTGAAAACAAACTGAATTCTCTAAGGAAAAAAATATAGAGATGCTAAAGAAATCTGAACAACTGCATGAATCCCAGAAAAACACACAGAATGTTGTAATTCATGGCATGAACAAAAGCAATAATTCCCATCCTCCAATCCCTCAAAAATATCTAAAAACTTACAATATGTATACACAATTATGTATAGATACACACATGCACACACAATGAAAATAGTCACCTTTTGTACGGCGCAGCATTATAGCCTTCAGCACAACTTGAAGCTTCATGTAACCATGAAGTGAATTTCTTGATATTGGAATCTTTATGGTATTGTAGAAAGACTTATATGCAGCATATGGATCATATCTTAAAAACCTGAAGTAGCTGTACAAATCATCAATTGCATTCTGTATTGGTGTTCCAGATAAGCACCACCTTCTTTTGGCTCGAAGGCTGCAGCAGGCTCGAGCAACTTGAGTGCGGTGATTCTTTATTGTTTGAGCTTCATCTAGTACCACCCTAAACCAAGCTACTTTGGCAAGTGTACCCCAACCACAATCAATGGAAGAACCATTTTCTTTTGTACCCTTCTTTCCCTTCTTGCTAACATTAGATATCTTTTTTCTCTTCTTATTGATTGAAAATACGGATGATACTCCATACACGTCCCCATTGTTTTCTTCACCCTCATCTTCATCAACTAAAGGTTGTTTTGGAACTTCATTAGTAACAATAGAATATGTCGTCAGAACCACATCATAATTGGCTAGCTCAACAGGATCCTTGGTCCTACTGCCTCCATGGTAGATGAGGACAGAAAGTTTGGCCTCATCTGAAACTTTATCATCCAGCTCCCTGGCCCACTGTCGGAGAACAGTAGCTGGACACACAACCAATGTACCAGCAGCTGGCCTCCGACGACTGAATGCACGAGTAGAGGTGCTTGCTTCTGGGACTGGTTTAATTTCATCAGATTCTTCGGTCTGCTTGGCCTTTTCTGAAACAGCACCATCATTATCATCATCATCCAAATTCAACGCTTCAGGTTTGTGATTGGATGTTGTTTTTGACTTTGATTGCAAAAACTTCTGCATTTGTATAAGGGCAATTATTGAGATGGTTTTACCAAGGCCCTGTTAAATAAAAGCATAATCAGTCTGGGCACAAATTTTTAGTGATGTCCCAAAAAAGTATCACCATGAAGACAGATCAATAATCAATTAAGCTTGAAAAAGGTAACCTGGTCATCAGCTAAAATTCCACCTAAACAATGCAGACTTCTTGTTTCCTTCTGAAGCATCCACGCCAATGCAATCCTCTGTTAATAAAATAATTTAGACAAAACTACGTAATACACATATATAAAAAAACTGATTCTAATAATCAAAGGATAAGATTAGACCTGATGTCTTAGGAGAGAGACAGACAAAAGACCATCAGGTAGAGTAGCTTCAACTTTTGGCTGATTAAGTTCCTGCACAAACCAAGGTGCACCTAATTTGAACTTTCCACTATTTCAAACATTAATTGATTTATCAACAGCTTAAGATGTTCAAGTGCAGGGCCAAATTCATCTGCTTTCCATACTCAAAAATTCAAAAATAGAAACAATATAAAATAAAAAGGACTGCAGGGTGGCACTTCCCTAAAGTTGTAGCACAGAATCTGGTGCTAGTGAAGTTTTGTTGTTAGTCCACCAAATTCTAAACTATAGAGAACAAAAATAAGAACTGTTCCAGAATTTATTTTCCAAAGACCTTGGAAAAAATAAGACAGCCATTTTGACATAAAATCAAAGCTCAGGGTCACCTAAGACACCACCAAAGTTAAAATGAAAAATTAGCATAATTACACTGCTCTACCTCAACAATTACACTATTTTTAAATATAAAAATTAGCTCCTAAAAATAATAATCAAAATAAAGCAACAAAAGGACCTTACCAGCTATAACACAAGGAAAACATATAATCAAAGAAAACATAACCAGAGACCAAAGTTTGATCCTAAACTGAAAAACAGAATACGAAGCTCAAAACATATAAATTTAAAGGTACGAACTCGCCAATTATTGCCACAAGAGGACTTCTTAAGCAATAAAAACGGATTGATTTTGTAATAGAACAAAAATTAATTTGATATTTAACAATGACACTCCTAAATAGATCTTTACATGTGGATATAAGAATGATTCTTGATATTGCCACACAAGGAAACTATAAAAGGAGGAATAGGACTAAATGTTCACAACAAAAGAATAGACTAGAAACTTGAATATTGTTGGCTTTATCAAGAGCAAAAAAGACCAATGATTATGGTGGTATTAGGAGAAACCTGATTCATCTAGCGAATACTAAAGGGAGAAGAGGAAGCACATAAATAATGCCTCTTATGGCCAAGAGAAGAGAGATGAAGACCAAAAAGAGACACAGAAAGCTAAATAGTGATAAAGGAATCACCCAGCCAACACTAGGCCCTAGCTAGAAGAATTCTTTCAAGTTCAATTGGCATACAGTATCAAGACTGACCCTAAAAATTATAATGAGGCTGATTAATTAACATTAGATGAACGCAAGGGAGCACAACCCAAGTACATGGGAAGCAAACAAAAGAAGCAACAAAAAGTAAAAGCGGAAACAAACAGTCGATTCATTTATGGTCAATTAGGTCTCATTTCAGCCTAACTTATTAAGGGTTGAAGTCTGAACGTTAACCCAGGCTTTTGTCCAAAGAATCCAAATTAGTCCCTAACCAGTAATCAGATTCATAAAAGAAACAGGCGAGCAAAAAAAGTCAATAATCCTAGTACTACCTAGAATTAAGGTATCCATGAGAATACAGTGAACATATCCTGAGACTTGTAAAAGTCATTGGTTATGGTAATAAAAATAAATGGTCCTATAACGTTGTAAGGACAAATGTTCGATATTTGTGAGCAGCAGGATCTGCCTACTGCAGTCCCCAAATAAATTAAAACTATTATTTCTTTAGTCATATCTTTACCAACTCTCATAGATTCCCACAAATATTGACATGAAAGATAAAAATATGCCAACAACATCAAAAATAAATGAAATTATTTGTCATTATGTGCATAGCGGCAACCAAATACTGCTATTATACTAGTATTTCCACAGTTATCTATATAATGGGCATAATAAAATTGTGTATTTATTATACCTCTACTGCTGCTTCATAAATCAATCTTTCATCACTTCCAACAGCTCTTTCTTCGGTGAGACCTGAACGGTAGACTGAGTCACTTGGACCACCAAATTGTGCCGAGGAAAAATTCTTTCCATGCATCAAAGAAGAAGGTAGAACCCTATTCCCATTATTCTCATACATCATAATGTCATCGTCTTTGCCCTTCAAATAATAGTCTCTCATATAGCCCTCACCATTGGTTGCACCTGGTCCAGCTAAATTATAAGAATTTCCATATGCATCATGAATCTGACTGCTGCTCACATTTTCCACTAAATATTTTGATTTTGTACTTGGTGCACATGGCTGAGAAAATGCAGGAAGAGTCCTCTTCAAAGCCTGCTGGGATGAAATTTTTTCAAAATCTGCAGAGGAAATATTAGCAATCCGAGAATTAACAGTTTGAAGCTGACCCACATTCCCATTCCCAGAAAAATAATTAGAATCCTCTGCTCGGCCCGCACGTCGGTTTGAACCTTGATTGTCTTCCCTAGAACCAGGAAGCATCTGCACTTTTGTCTGTGAATGATTATTTGCATTTGAAGTGCTTGCATCTGAAGCATTAGCCCTTTCTTGAGAAAGAGCCGTTCGAGATTGCCCACCATAACCTGCATTTTTTTTATCTGCGCTATTAATAATACATTTATCTTTCAATTTTAATTCTGGGGAGTCCTCAATTTGTAAAAGGCAATCTAACCTGTACTCCCTGACTTTATGCTATGATTGGTTCCCCATGGGGGAAGAATTCTCAAATTGCTTGATTGCCTATGCAATGTTTCTGATTGCCTAGCTTCGCCTATCTCCATATCACTATCAGATGAACTGATGTCTATAGGATCCATTGCAGCCATCAAAGTTCAATAGTGATTTTCCTTTTCTTCAACCAAATCAAAAAGAGAATCCCTACAAGGAGAACTGACCTGAAATTGAAAAACATTACTAATAACTCAAGAGGCAGCATAAACAGAGAATCAGTAATGCAATCAAATCCTCAGATGCAAACATATCTCAATTCAATTTACATGGTCAAGGCAATGTCTTGAAATTAATCAGAAAATTTATCCATTTACAAGAAGAGATTCACCTTGTTGAACAAATTAAATAACAAAAGATGATCCATGTGCTAAAATATCAACCTCATGGGCACTCGTGAATCCTTCCAAATAGAAAATTAACAAGCAGTTCAAATTTGTACTAAAAAAGTTTGGCCAAGCAAATTCAAAATGTCGATGAAAAATGCATGTATCAAGCAACTCATCTAAAACTCTAAGAGGGAAACTAGTTACACTGGAAACCAAATCAAAAGCCCACCCTGTTAAGTATAATGAGAAGCTTAAGTAAAAGCATGCTTAGAAGTGAGCAAAAATAAGAAATGCAATTTGCACTGATGTGGGGTCTGCTTGGGTCCACTTCAGTCTAGTATAGATGAAATGGGGATCTACCTTAGTTTTTTGTGTATTCTAAGCAATTACTGCAAAATTATCTACATTTTTTACCCTTAAATGTAAAGTAGCCAGAAAAAAAGATCAATGGAATATGAATTTCAAAACAATACTGAAGAAGGTTTTAGACTCAAGATTCACTCAGAGGAACTTCTGCATGGGCCCCCAAAGGGATCATTCAAGCTCTGGTGGAATTTGGTTCTCTTAACTAGAATAGAAATAAATATACATTATATATAGCATGTGATTATGATGATAATGGAGAAATACACGATATGTGCGAAACAAATTATTCTTCAAAACTTACTTTGCATAGAACAGATGATTTCCCAATCTGGCCTAGTGACTCACATGGAATACGGGGTGAGTTTCATCAAGCCAATCGTTTGATAGGCAACCTTCCTACTCTACAAGGTTTACTTTCTTCTTCCTTCAAAAAAGGCTGAACCTTTTGTTTAAGTGGGTTTAGGCAAGGTCATTGTCTCCCTACCACGAAATTTGATAAAATCAAGATTTGTTTGAACATCTTCAATCCGTCAACAGATTTTTAGCTTAGTCTAAGGACTTGTCTAATTTAACCTTTCATATGTAGCCCTATCTTGGCTTACCATTTTAAGCGTCTTACATTTAAACTTATGATTACGAATTTAGATGAACCAAAACTTATAAGAATTTAATTAGATGAACCAAAAAGCTGTAAGAATGTTTGTCTAAATTTAAGAATTCATTAATGGGAATTTGATACACTTCAATTTTTGTTGACTATCCTCTCCATTTTCTTCCACTCCATTCTCCCTCATCTTTAATTCACTGCATATACAGAATAGTCCACAACCAGCACTAATCATCTAAACTAAGACTTTACAATTTCAAACCTTAAACAATATTTCAACCTCTTTACATCCCCAATATGTTCAAATTCTTTGGACAGCCACTGTCCAGATGATCCACCAGCACAATTCACTATAATATCAGCCAACCATTTTCCTTTTACCACAAGCTAGTCTAAGAGTAACCGACATAACAACAAGTACTTAACAGCTTTCCAAATTTGTCATGCAACCATGGAAACAACAATTTTCCCCGTAACAATTGCTCCTAAGTGTTGGAAAACTGGGTAATTTATGGACTTTATCCATCTTAGGGATACACTTAAACACCATTACACTGTAGGTCAATGATTTTAAACCTAAACAAGATGAATAGATCTTGCATTTGCATCAAATAGTACCAAACCTAACCATTGCAACTCGAGAATTCATGATCCTTTTATCCAGTCATCAAAAGAATAATCAAAATCAGTACTCCCTTTTACTTTCACTCTGAATGAAAGTAAATCAGATAATCAATTAGACCTGCAGTTGCAATGCTGGCCAACAAAGTTTGTAACTCAATACATATTTCAAAAACGAAAAAGGAACTTACCAATTCATAAAAGCAATAGCAAGGTGGCAGTCAAACCCAAACAAATTAGGTACCACACACCAAAAAATAAAATTAGAATGATATTACAAAAAAATTATAAAAAAGAAATAAGCTAGCCATCTTCGCCCAAAATAAGCAAAGAAACATATTAACTATTGAAGTATAAATTAAGCCATTCATAAATTACAGGCTTGGAAGTGCTGTTACTCACATGCAACTATCATACATAAGTTAACAAGAATAATTCATTCCCAATATGAATCAAACCACCATATTCACAACCGAAAGAAAACACTCAAATTCTCCCAAAATTCACTCCCATCGAAACCGGTCGTCGCTCCAAAAATTCAAAATAGATACACTATTTCACAAAAACGAAACTACCAGTTTCTTAAAACGCATTGAAAACAGAAAATAGCCCAAGCATTCTGATAAACTACAACTTGTCAGTGAGTAAAGCCAGAAAATAAAAAATGTACAAAAGAAAGAACTAAAAAACAAAATTCTATAATCGTAAAGAGAGAGAAAACATAGAGAGAGTGAAGAGCCCTACCAGTTGTGAATGGCCGATCCCCGTTAAAGTGCTGTACTGTTCATAGGGTTTTAGAGAGAGAAAGTACAGCAAATCGATGCACGAGCACAGTGTCGTGGAGTGATTTTAGAGAGACTTTACGGTAGCGTTTCGAAGAAGGAAAGGGATTTTCTGCAAATCTTTAAAAAATTCTTTTGGTTTACCCTAATTGAGTAATTGTTGAATTAATGTCCCGTTATTATTAATTAATGATAAATCCCAGACATTTGATTGTTTGATATTTTTTCCCTTTTTTTTTTTTTTTTTTTTTTAGTAACCTTCCACGCATCTCGATTAATTTTAGAAGTTTACCAACTCCTGTCTAAAAAACTAGATAAGCTACAATATTATTATAGAATGTGACCCCAAAGTTTAAATCCAGGAACTCAAAAAAGGAAATAAACTCTTTAATCGTCATGCTAACCCCTTAGGATAGAAGCGGATCTAACCATGGCTCACCCTTAATTTAAAAAAAAAATACTAATACAATAAAATCTCTCTATAGTCATAATGGTGGGACTAACTAATTTTATTATTATAAGAAGGTTATAACTTAATGGAGATGTAGTTACAAAAATCATAATTTTGATTTCTTATTTTATAATTTATGTTTTAGTAGTAAAGTATTAGGATTTCAATTCATATTTTAGTAATATCGGGATTTTAATTCAACGCTTCAATTGCCAACTTTTGAAATTGATAAAAAATGATTTCTTAGAACCAACAAAAATAAGTGTCATTGATAGAAATATAAATGTAGTTGATGCATGGTCAATTGATGTGAAGTCACAGACAATTGTCAATGGTTTTAAGCGTTACAAAATTAGGACTACTAATATCAATGAATTATAAGTTACAAATGAAGTGAATAAGAAGAATAAAAGAGTTACTATAGAATTGAGTGATCAGATTCAACAACTTCATTACACTAATCGAATGGATATTAATGATTTCTTCGATTATCCAAAAAGCAACGAATCGTGTATGCTTTAACCAAAGGAGAAATCATTGTTGCAATTAGACAAGAAAAGAAAGGAAATAATCCTAAAGATAATAGTACGAAAATACAAAAAATCTTGTGTCATGAAGCTCTAAACATACTTGAGAAACTAAAAATATTTTGTCTTCAACAAGAAAGTATACATGCTAACAAGCTATTACGTACTCGTAAGGTAAAAGATGTGATAACAACTCTAAAGCATAAATCATTGTCCCAAACAATTTTAAATAAATATTTTATTTCATTTTATACCTTTAATTTTACATAACATATATTTTTTTGTAATATACAGATAATTATTATTATGTAGAGGCAACTTTCCTTAAGGCAGGAATTTGAAAAATTATAACTTATCACAATGTAGGTTTATTCTTATTTATAACTATCCCAGATTGAGACTATAATTTTTGATGACTATGTAGAGTTTATTCCTATATAGAATATTACTATAGAGAGGTTTTACTATATATACAATTTCTGGATTTTGGCCCACTCTAATAAAAATATTAATATGCAATTAGTTTTTATTTTAGTCCACCCTAACAGAAATTTCTGGATCCACTACTACCTGGGGGCAAGTTTATTGTTTAATATTTATAACAATTAATTCATACATAAATTTATTAGGTAATACGTTGCAAAACTTTCATTTTCCATTTAAGTTTTTTAATTATCTTTTTATTTTAATAGATTTATGTCAGCACTCCATTCAAAATAAGTTGGGGTGTTCAAAAGAACTGATTGGAACCGGAATCGACAAATACCCAGGGTTTGGTTCTGGTTCCTACTTGGAACTGGTCGTCAACGAGTAGGTTCCAGTTCCAAATTTTTGGAACCATTATTGTGCAGTTTCGGTTCCAGTTCCTATAGTTAGGAACCGAAACTGGGAACCGAGACTAATATAAAATAAAATTAAAGATTCGGGGGGTTAATAAAAACTTTTGTATAAAAAGTAATGTGAATACATTTATATTTATATTTTATAACATTTAAAGTAAATTGGTTTGACTTTTGAGAATCTACCTTTACAAAGTAATGGAGTTTGTAATTTTAAATTTTGAATTTGTAATTTTATTTTTATTAACAAGTGCTAGATGGGGGGGTATTTGTAAGTTTTTAAGAGTTTTTACACCATTTAAAAATTTTTGGGGGGTAATATAATTTTACAGGATACCCAGAACAGAAACTGGAACCGTTGTTATAGGTTCAGATTCTGGGTACCAAGGAATCGAAACTAAATTTCAAAGAACTGCCGGTTCTGGTTCCTTCAAAAAATATAGAATACCCAGAACCGAACACTCCTAAAAGTAAGGGTTCGAAGAAAGCATAGAAGAAACATTGAATCCACATAAAACTATAGGGGGCTAAAAAAATTTACCAAACTGCTGGTACTGTTTGGTTTTTCTCCCTTTTCCAATTTCCACTGTACTCTCAACTCTCATCTGCTTTTTTCCACTTCACAGGTCTGCATCACACAAAACAGTTTCAAAAACATAATCCATAAATGGTTTTTTTGTCGGTGTGACCCACTGTGAGCTCTACAACGCTCAAGCTATTATAAAAATATTAACAATAAAGTTTTAGAGAAGCTTTAATTTTAATTCGATGGCAGTTTTTTTGCCAAAGAACAAAGGTATAACGAATGTTAAACCTTTTCAAACAGATCACAAAGAATGGAAAGGACACTTACAGCACTCAGATTACTTAGTTTATTTGGTATGAACTCTTACATTTTAGTGCCTTTATTTACATTTCAACGTGAGCCAATCAGGTTTACTACTACTCCTATAAAGTCTTCTTATTCAAAAGAAAAGGAAAAAAAAAAAAAAAAAAGTTCAATGTTATAACTAAGTGATATAAACAAATAATAAAATAGTTATTTTACATAAATTTTATATAATTTTTATATGTTTGTATGACTTAATTATATGATTAAATTATAAACAAAACATTGTTAAAAAAAAATTCTTTAAAATATATAAAATAAAAAACACACGCTAATATGACATTTTATTATTGATTGGTTGTACTGTGACATATTGTATGGAATACTTTTCTCTTCCAAAGATCCTGTAATGACATTATTATTCATTTGATACATTATTTATTTTTAATAAATAAATCATTTTATTTATGAGAAATGCTAAAGGTATAAAGAAATCTTACAAAGATTTCTATATAAAGTATGCGGTAGGAAATGAACAAAATAGTAAATATAATGAGTTTGATTTTTTATATTTATTTTTTGTCACGTCAATTTATATATAAATTTTGGTAAGATTTGTTTGTATTTTAATTATTATCAATCACTTTGCCCGTATATTCTTATAAGAGATACCTGTATATTTAATATTATTTTTCTATTATTACATGACAGCTACATTTTACCTTTCTGACAAATCACATAACTTAGTAAACTTTTAAGGTGTCTTTAGTTTAAGAGATGTTAGATTATTGGGAATGTTAAATTAATTGAAAGTTTGATTATCTTGAATATTATTGGGAATCTTTAGGAAAATATATTTGGTTAGGTGAAATAAATTGGTGGATGTGTGTTACTAAATTACCCTTATTTTTTAAATATTAATATAACATTATTTTTATTATTAATTTTTGAATAATTTCATTTAACTCCCAACATTTCAGATTTAGCTAAGACACTCTAGCTTATATAAAACTTTAATTTGTAACAAAATCAATTCCACCCACCCCAAGCCACTACCGGCTGCCAGCCACCACCACCAGCCGCCACCTTTTGCCGTCGGGAGTCGTCGAAATTCACTGGAAATCGCTAGGAGTTAGTTTAACGGCCAGATCCATTGATCTGGTTGGAAATGGCTAGAATAGATCTAGCCAAATCTACGACCATTAATATGGCTAGAAACGGCCATATTGGAGACTCCCGATGACTTTTGACAGTGGTTGACCAACTGTCGACGGTGGTGACTGAGTGGCGGCGGTGGTGGTCTGCAATTTGTTTTAAATATAAGGGTATTATTGTCGAAAAACTTAATTAAATAAGGGTAAAATTGTAATGGTAGATTAATGTAAATTAATTTTAAAACAATGGTATTATTGTTCAAAAATTTTATTAATAAGAGGTAAAATTGTAACAAAAATAAGATTGCCAAGTAATCTTATAATACCTACGAAAATAGAGATATTCAAATTATCTCTAATATTACTAACAATAACTACTATTGGTTTTTTAAAATTATCGAAATTTTATAATACTTGACAACCATACATGGTAATTAAGTAATATAATATGACATTACCTCAGTACTCCAATATTACCTCCAACAAAATGCACCCTTAGGTTATCACGAAGACACAGTGGTCTCAATTCTCACGAGTGATTATACAATAGTATTGACAGTCGCATAAAGTTTTGTAATGTCTTTGGTAGAGGTGAGTGTAATGGCATTGACAGTGTTCTTGGATGCACTTCTAGGAACGGCAATCGACCAATGCTACTAATGGCAACTTTGTTTTTTTTTTTTTTTAAATTTGATATCTTTATGTTAAAAAAAATGCACATTTTTACCATTTAAAAAATAGTTGCCTTTGTCCTCTTATCTTTATTAAATTTATTTTTGTAAAAGTAAAGATAATTTAAAAATTAATACGAACAAATGTTTCATAACCTTTTTATATAGTTGACTAAAGCGGAGGCATAAGTCCGCATTAAGTGAAGAACATAACTTGATTGGTCCACGTAACTCATTCGAAATGTCAATTGTGTTCTTAGATACATTTTCAGATTATTGCAAGGACCATGCTGCCGACATACACATTGTATAAATAAATTTACATTTTGTTTATTAATTTTTGTATGGTTTATTAAAATTTATTCAAGAAATAAATTTATAATTAAAATTTACCATATACTACACACGACTGAGCTTAGTATCGTTTAATGTAATGCAATATAATACAATCTAAAATAAGTATCGTAGAGTATGGTATGTTGAACATGATCTACATGGTCAATAAAATGCTCAAATTTGTCAGCGAACTTTTTGAAGCCTCATTTTTTTTAAAATAAAATAACAAATGAGATCAAATTAGTCTTTTACCTTGGCGAATGAGGTTTATAGTTTAGATACACTGAAGCCCATATGGCCATACTGT